ATGCAAACATTATGAAGAGAAACCCTCTGTGAGCCTTTCAATACGCGTTGGATTATTTCGGGTTATGTGGTTATCGATCTGTTTCTTAAATCACACACACCATGGAAAGTACCTCACCGTGACTGAGAAGCCATTTCTTCACGGTCTACTTCTAGCAAAACATTTATATGAGAAATTCTCTCAAAACGTACGGCGAAGAAGCTCTGTGTGGTGAAACATACCCCTGAAAACAAAGTGCATTAGGTGTTACGTCCAATCCCTCAAACGAAAGCACTACACAATGCATTCCGGATATTAGGTTCAATTCAACAATTTGGTTTTGTAAACGACAGCCACTGATCTCCATCATATGAGGGGTCCCGATAGTCGTTTAGTCGCGAGACTAGGTGTCGCGCCGCAGGTGGCGGATAGGGGGTCAATCGCGGACCATAACCGATCTTTGCTATTCTGAGACGCAGGCCGCTTCAAGGGATGGACTCCCTGTTTCTGCTGCTCGGATTTGGCACACACTTTTTGTATTTACAAAGTGCAATCACGCACTCACGCACGCGTGTGTAGGTGCTTTCTAGTTTATGCAGATTGTATTCTACGAGTCAATTCAGCTAAAACCCTGCAATCAAGTGACAGGCAAGTATATGAGTGGCGGTTAGGAGTCGCCTCCAATAAATAAGCTCAATGTCCACTCTGGAAGAGCCTGGCAAGCCACCCGTGGTACACCCATCCCCACGTTCAGAGCCTAGTAAGCTATACGTGGGTATCGAAGTGCTAAACACAGTAAAACAAACGGACCTCATTCCTCCGATCCCGAAAGCGCCCCAATTCGGCAGTGTTGGGTAGGACGAATAGGGAAAGGCCGCTAAAGTCTCAGTGCCAATGGAAGCTGTCTGGATCACAAAAACTAAGGTGACGATCTGTACCTAAAATGCATGTACACTTGCATCCGAGTACTCGATGGAAGACTTACTCATGCAAGCAAGAAGGATAAGGTACGATGTCACCGGCCTGGCCGAGACGAGACAACGCCACGCATTCAACGCCGTCTATGAAACCGGAGAAGAACTGTTTCTCGGAACATGCGACAGTAGAGGAGTCGGCGGTATCGGCGTTCTCGTCAACACGAGTTTGTACATGGACATCGATTCATTCAAACAACTTACAACCCGAATCGGACGTTTACCATTAAAAAGACGTGAATCAATTCTGGCTTTGACAATCTTCGTCGTTTACGGACCGACATCAACTATGACGAAGGGGAAGCCGGAGCGATCTATATGGACTTGGAGACGTGACGTCCTACAGAGACCACACATTCTTCAAGACCATCACTGGAGATTTCAATGCCAAGATTGGACCAAAAAGAACGTCTGAAGAACGTCACATTGGGACCCAAGGATTAGAATGGAACGAACAGAGTGGGCAGCTGTCTGAGTTTATCATGGCGACCAAGACAATCAATGGTAACTCGCAATTCCAGAAGCCCTACCCTCAACTCTAGATGTGGAATCCTCCCAATGGAGACTACCACAACGAAATAGACCACATCATGGTAAATACAAGGTTTTACCTAACCGATATCGCTGTTGTCCAAAATTCTACATGGGATCACACCATCGTCTCCTTCGCGTAAGATTCTATTTCCCGCAGAATGGAGAAAAGGCCGTTAAATTCAAAAACCGAGGTCCCAGAACCACCGTAAACTGGGACTTATTCAATTCATCAGTCAACTGTTAGGAAGATGCCGTTGTCGATAACATCGACGAAAAATACGATCGGCTCATTCAACATCTTCACAGGAGCGCAATGAAAGCTGAGAGTTAGAAAGTCACCAAGAGACGTCTGTCTCCAGAAACACTCCAGCTGATACGCCAGCGTGAAATCGCAAGAGCTGCATGCAACCGCGAACTAACGATCGAACTTGGAAAGCAATGTAGACAGACTATAAAAGAAGATCTTGAAGCGAGAAGAACAGCAGTAATGGTCGGAGCTGCAGAGACTGGGAAAAGCATTCGCAAAGTCCACCGACGCTTCGCCAATTACAAGTCTAGATAATTACACTTTGACGACCAAACGAAACAGTGACAGCGTCCAGAAAGGCAATGGAGAAAATCATTCACGAATACTACTCACATCTATTCGATAGCCACGTCTGCTTCTCGTTATATGAAATAAAGGAGGATAGATATGTTGTACTACCGGTTCTACCTTCCGAAATACGACGTGCCACGGTGAAAAATCGAAACCTGAAGAATCTCCGTCAGTCCTCGTCAACACACTGGCTCGGCTGTTCACACGTTACCTGTCCGAATGCAAGGTCCCTACTCAGTGGAAGACCAGCTAAACGGTGTTATCGTTCAAAAAGGGTAACCTACACGATATCGACAATTATCACCCAATCTGCTTACTGTCTGTCGCCTACAAACTTTTCACTCGGGTCATTCTAAACAGGATTGATAGAACTCTAGACGAAGTACATCCACGTGAGCAAGCAGGGTTTCGAAAAGGATTTAGTACGATGGGCTACATCCACACGGTAACAAGACTCACTGAAGTATCGCGAGAGTACAAAGGACCGCTCTGTATCACTTCCATCCATTTAAAGAAGGCCTTTAACTTAATTGAGATAGAAGCAGTCGTGAAAACCTTTGATACTTAAAGAGTCCCTACTCAGCGCATAAATATTCTTCGTGAGCTGTACAAAATTCTAACAACCAAGATATCACAATTCTGCAACCACTTCACCATCGAGGTCAAAAGAGGAGTTAGGCAAGGCGATACTATCTCACCAAAATTATTTACAACCGCCCTCCTGAACGTCATTCGAACATTGGAATGGGATAATGTGGGAGTGAAAATCGATGGTCGGCAGTTGCACGATATTCGCTTTGCTGATGACATCGTCCTTAGAACACCAAACATTAGCCAAGCGGAACGTATGCTTGCCGATTTTAATAAAGCCTGTGGAAAGATTGGTCATCGATTAAATCTCACAAAACGATGTTCATGAAGAAAAATTGGTTTCATATGCCCCATTCACGCTCAACGGTACGAATATCTCCGAATGATCCAGTTACGTCTATCTAGTTCGTGAAATCAACATGGTGAACGACTTAGTTCCAGAGTTGAGCAGAAGGAAATGAGGGACTTGGGAAGCTTTCAAGAGCATCGAGGATGTAGGGAAAACGAAGATCACCCGACTCTGTGCCCACCTTTTCAACTCAACGGTACGTCCTGCCCTAACGTATGCGTCAGAAAGCTGGTAGCCGCGTAAGCAGGATGAAAGGTCACTCAGCGTTATCGAACGCGCAGTCGATGGACGATGCTAGGAGTACCTCGTTCCACGCAAGTAAGGGATGGGATCCGAAGCTCCGATCTGCGTCAACGATTAGAAATCAAAGATGCCGTTCTGTTCGCCAAACAGTCGAAGATAAGGTGGGCCGGAAGCGTAATGCGTATGAATGACAACGGACGGAGAAGAGCCGTTAGCGACTGGATTCCTCGGGATGTCAAACGTACTTCGGGAAAATCACCGACTCGATGCTCAGAGTTCTTTACGCAAGGCCTAGAAGAAAGATATGATGTTCGACGAGTCCCAGCGAGGGCAGAACCCACTGGGCTGCGCTTACACGCGACAGGGAAAAATGGAAGATTTACTGGCGCTCGCTCGGGTCACTCGACGATCAGCGAGACTGCAGGTGATATAGAAGACTGTTTAAATGTTCTCAAAAACGGTGTTAACAGAAGCTAAATAGACAAAAAAATCGAAAAATCTCATCATCTCTGGGCTTTACACCTACGAAGCTTTTTCACATTAAGCTCTATGCCGAATGAGAAGTGTATAAAATATCGCGGAGCTTGCAAAGAAGGCCGTTTAGAACATAGTTTTTGACGGGTTTCCATACTTTCAGTTTATTCGAACTTGCTGTTTCCAAAAAATTTATTTCAAAGAACATGTGAATGCTGCATGGTCATTTTTAGCACTACGCTTCACCTAAAAGTAAAAAAGGCTTTAAAGATACAGTTCCCAAATGAGGTGAAGACTAGTTTCGAAGGCGCAGTATATATGGAATGTAAACTGTGTCATTCTTATCGCAAACCCTTTTACAAATACACCCACGCACATAAACACACGCAGAAACACACAAACCACGCATATATATATATATATATATATATATATATACATATATACCTTTAGACGCCGATCGCAGAATAACGACACTTGCGAATTAAAATTCTTTCCTTTGGAGCAATGCTTTGCTATTAGAGTGAGGAAGTAGCGCTTAATATATCAACTAAGCTTCTACAACGTTTTCTTAGAATGAAAGAGCCGATAGAATTTTGACGAATTCTATATCGGCTCATGGCGTGAGAAACTTGGTGGCAGAACTGCTCTTCTATAATATGCCCATGGTTACTTGCTCAAATGCACCCCAAAACAAGGAAGATCCCATCTCACCTAGGTCATGAGAGTGCTCCCAGGCTTGTCTTAGAAGAAATTTCTCAGATACAGATATTCTGGCGACTGCAAGTGGCGACCACGTAGAATGGTATAGTACTGGTACTGGTATAAAATTATAAGCAATTTCAGACAATTATTTAGTGATATTGAAAGTAATTGTGGGACATGGACGAAGTAACCCATAGAATGAGAGCTTGGCAGCTCATTTTCCTTTGCCAATCTGCTGTTATAGAAGAAATCCGATAGAGAAGTGGTGTGGACCAAGTCGTAAAAAACCACAACCGGCACTTTATCTGCTAAAAATTTAAACTTAAAACGTGTACAGGGCTTAAGTGAATACTATTCCGTATTGTACCAGTCCGTTTCACTCTTCGACACATTCAGCATCGCGTTTTTGTAGGCGACAGAGCAAAAATCATCCATAAATAGGTTTAAAAAACTTTATACACCATAGTTAATATCATTGCTATAGAAACAAATATCACAAATAGCCGAATAGTAGCGAGATGTGAATAGGAGAAACTTGGCTATCCGTAATCAGTCAGCAGCAAATATTACCAGGACAACATCTCTTTCCACCTCCACAAGCGCCATTTAGACAGGCACCAAATGGCATCACATTATTCGGGCAGGACGGGCAGCAGAATCCGGTCGAATGACAGCTATAGCCTGCAGGGCAAAGCCCCTAAATTTAAGCGTGAATAGATTAGATAGAGCTTTTAACTGAAAAGTGCTAGAGGAACGTTAGATGCCAAATGACCGTTCGTTACCTAGAATTACGAATTATATTTCCAGTATGTATTCTTTCTTGATAAGCTTGCACGAGGTTGATAAATATATTTATTTTTGGTCATTTCGAGGAAGACCTGGTTCGACACGAAGGCGAAGCTGCAACGTCGAGACGAACAACAATCATGGACCATCGACTCGGACCATCGGCTCTGAGGAAGACGAAGACGTCGAAACGTTAGCCGAAAATAAATATATTTATCAACCTCGTGCGAGCTTATCAAGAAAGAATACATATTGATTAGTCACACCGAGGTTTAGAGAAAGTCGGTTTCGAAATATATTTCCAGTGTCGATAGAATACCATGCGCTTCTAGTTCACGACAAAATAGTACATGCCTTACTTTGTCTTAATATTTTTCGACAAAAGACTAGTTTCATGATTGTTGGGGATTCACATGTCACTTTGAACTTAATCAAGCACGAAGTTTGCTATGTATGACAAAGAACTCATCAAATATAACATAAACAAGACCAAATCCATGACTCATTTCTTTTTATTTCTGAATATTTCCCCTTTCAACTAGTAAACATGTATGACCCACGTTTCTACAACGTCCACCACTTCTGCCAACAGGACACTCACAACAGTAGTTTGACGCGGTACATACACCAGCCGAGCAGGAACCGTTTAAGCACGAGCCGAGTGCCGCCAATCCACCACAGGCTTCTTAAGTTTTCTCAACTTATCTTGTGTCTATTAGATAAGAACGAGCCCTTAATAGTCATCCACACCGAAAAGTGAGACTTAATTATAGCATCTTATGAATTTCTTCGCCAGCGATGCTTTCGACTAAATCACTGAATCACTCATGGAAATGTGGTGCAAAATTATGGAATGAAAGAGAGCATTATATTTTCGCTACCATGAAAATGACAGAGTTCATTGATCTTATAAAACTCCGTTGGGAAACAAGGTCATAAAACAACCATAACTCTAAAAAAGGTGAATTCTTTAAAACCTTAGCCACAGAAATGTAACTTCAATGATGCTGAGATATTTACAAAACTCCACGCCTCAACTGTCTGCGTTGGGGAACGAACGCGTTAGTGTCCTTTCCGGTGAGTGACGCGTTCATCACTACACCATGCGGGTCCTTCGTTTCGCCTGTCTCTCAGCTAGTTCTATTGGCCACTGCAGTCAGCAATCATCTGTCAGCGGGATTGATCTGGAGAGCTCAGATCCAAATCGGCAACGAACCCAATTAAGCTGTGGCCGTAGTTACAACCACAAATCTTAACTTATTATTTACTGCCTACTCCACTTAATGGAAGAGTATATTGCAAAATATAACTCCAATGATGCTGAGATATTTGCAAAACACGGGACCGCAGGTGTCTGCGTCTGCTGTGGGGAACGAAAGCGCTATTGTTCTTTCCGGGGAAGCATGACAGAACTAGCTGAGAGACAGGCGAAACGGGCCCACATGGTGTGATGATGAGCGCGTTACTCCCAGGAAAGGACAATAGCGCGTTCGTTTTCCACCGCAGACACTTGCGGTCCCGTGTTTTGCAAATATCTCAGCTTCATTGAAGTTGTATTTCGCAATGTACTCCGCAATTAAATAGAATAGGCAGTAAATAATAAGTTAAAATTGTGATCCAAGGCACAGAATTAAAAAACGTGTTAGCAGCCTTGGACCAGCTTACCGAGGATAGCTCATCAGGACAGAATAGCTTTTTGATTAATGCTAAATTTATTCTTTAAGGCTCTTCGTTTAATGACTCGGCTGTTTCTAACACGAAGTTTCAGACCAATAACTTACAAATGGGACTAGGAACAAGGAGTGACTGTAAATAGTAAAACATTTAGAAATAGAACCAGCAGATTGCAACGGGGATGCCTTTCACATAATGGTAGTGATTTGTGGACGAAAACCTTATTTTGACGAAAATCTTATTTTATTTATTCGTTGAACTCCTAAGATTTTCAGCAAAAAAACGTAAATTCTAGTTATCGGGAAGTTCTTAAGAAACTCACGAGACCACTCATTTCCGGTTTTTGTGCAACATAGTCCAGTCATGCAAAATTCGCCTGGTTGACACTGATCACGACCACTGCAACGAACCTCAGATAGTTGTCCAGAGGGACAATAGCCTAAAATCAATAGAAATTTTTAAGTAAATTATGTTCTTCGCCTCTAATTTATTTAGCCAATTCTTAAATAATGGATTAAGTTCATATTTCTTCTACCAGTTTCGCACTAGACGGTCATGGGTAGTTTGCTTTGAGGTTGTGTGTCTTGGTCGGCGTTCAGTAATAATACATGCTGTTTATTGGGCAGTAATGAAATGTGCCAAGCGATCTCTCCATGATCTTTTTGCTAGTGCTATTGATAAAACGACACCTATGTCTGAAAAACTGTGGCTCTAGTCCACTTTTTCTTGTTCTTCTCCTCCTTCTTTTCCTTCTTTTCCTTCTTTTTCTTCCTTTTCTTCTTCTTCTTCTTCTTCTTCTTCACACTACTTTCTCGTTGTTGTGTTCTGTGCTCCTTGTACGTCATAAGCACGCATATAATGAGATCTCCATAATAAAAGAATTACCCATAGCACTTGTTCTCGTCACACTATCGGTTTTTCATGAGCTGGTTTTCATTCGCATTTTTCGCAATTCTGTGCTTTTCTTCAGTTCATGAAGCTTTCTGAGCGATAACTCTGTTTCAGTATCACATCTCGGGAAGATGATATCTCAGCAAAAGTTAAGTTTTGTGGAAAAAGATACTATCAATATGCCTTATCCAGAATGTCGAACAACTATTTATTTTTACATTATAAATCGTTTGTAAATGGTTTAGTGTAAAGTTGATTTCTTGGTCTCACTTGCCTACAGCGGTGATGAAAAGTTGACGAAATAGTGTATTTTCGTTCTGCAATTGCAGTAGCAATCAAATAAAGTTCTTATGCATTACCTAATCCTCCATTTTTGGTATATGGATGCTTATTCAACGGAATACTTTTGTTTTCGACCCACACGAACGTTTGTTCTTCTTAGGAACGAAAGGTGCCACAACAAAGAAGAGGTAGCCTTTCCAACGAATATTTGATTCTCGGCTTTATATGGAAAGAACAAATGTGCTTGGTGTTCAAATCCTTCGATGAGCAGCGTAAGGCTTTTAGTGGGATGTTCAATATATGAAAAAGAGAGCGGTCGGTTCCACTACAGTGATAGGTCGAGGTGATATCGATTTTTCTTAGTGAATACGTGATCAATCTCATGTGATTAGGCAACTCCGATGTCTAATGCCTACTTTTGAACAACTTCCTTGAGAACTAATGTGGTATTGATAGGGTGGATAGCGCAACAGCAATGATACCGTTCAACACGGGCTCAATACTGGTTCGACACGCACCAGGTTCACTTAGCTTCTTGTTCCTCGTTGTTGGGCAATTGGTCCCTAACTTGTCTAAAAAAGGCCCATTATTTGTAATCAAAATGGGAACGCTCTATTCTAGCTTTCCCAGGAATCCGGGAAGAAAGAACTAGACTAGCATTCAACGATATTCAAAATGGAGACGGAAATACTCAAGCAGCAGCCGGTTCCACAAGTGAAAATCTCGAAGACCTTCGTGGATAATGGGTGCGAGCAAATGAGTAGAATGCAAGAAGAGCTGGGATTTTTACAGTACAGGTCATGTAAAAACGACTGATGTGAAATAATTTAAAAATGTAATGCGATCAGAAGAGTATCTACTTAGAATTGACTTTTGCTTCTACAGTAGACACCATAGACACTTATGTACGCACACACTGGTGTTGTTTTTGTATGCAAATTGTACATTACACTCCTGTGTTTCCATGAACGATGAGGGATAGCCAGCCAGTAGGTACAAAGTAAGTGACCGTAGGTATTCTGCAAAAAGACCGCTTATATTTTGAACGAGTTCGGCGAGTTCTACGTGGCTTTAAACTCTCCACAAACAATAAAGATAAAGGATGTCATGAAAACAAAAAAAGACGTCCACTACAGAAACTTTGGGATGGACAGAGAGATTGGAGAATTTGGCCGATAAACCTACACGCACGCATAAAAGTGTGGTCATGTTTGAAAAACCTATGAATATTTGACGACGAAGCCGTTGATGCTATTGGAAAAAGACTTTGGTTGAACATTTGTGACAAAAGAAAAGCATTTAGACCGTTTCAGAACTAAGACTATTGTCGTAACCTACGCTACTACATGAACTGATGTTTGAATGACGAGCTTTTGATCTCGTGTGTCACTGTGTCACAGTGGGGTAATAGGCACTGCAGACAGGACCCATCGTACATCTAGGAATACATAGATCTGATAGTAGTCACGAAAAGGACTTGGAAAACATGGTACTACAGTGTTGGTCGAAGCTATATAGCAGGTTGAAGAAAACAGCCGTAACACCTGTTAATACCTCACCAGGGAGCCTTCACCCTGTTGCAACAACACCTATATGGAAGAAGTTAACGGTCATAATCTTCTACAATTTCTGCTCCAATCTCTTCGACATTTACATCAGCCAACTTCCATACCATATTACTCTTGATGCAATGAGTTCAGTGGGATCCTTCTCTGATGTTCGATATGAAGCTTCATTTACTGTGAGTAATCGAAGAGCAAACATTTAAAAAATTGCCACCATTTTCCACCAAAATGCTGGCTTGGATTTACTTATATTAACTACAAGAAAAAAATGCTGCGTGTAAATTTTAATAGAAAACTAGTAGGATCACAGCACTATGCGAACAAATAGACTTAGAAGAAGTCAGTAAGATTTGATCAACCAGCCTGCTCTCCGCTGTTTGCAATCTTTTTACTGAAGTAACCTTCAATAGGATTGGAAAAACGTTCAACGGAGCACACCCATGAGAAGAGCAGCAAGTAGGGTGTAATAGTTCACATCCAGACGGTTACGAAACCCAACGATTTATTGCTAAAATGCCACTACGTAACGCATTCATCTAGCTGGAGAGGTTAGAGATTCTATTCATACAGGAACGGTGTTTGAAAACCATAAAAGCAAAGTTTATTGCCAAAGAATGCATTTTAACTCTTAGCCAGCTTGGAAGCTGATTTCGACTACTACTGGGAAAAGCTGGTAAGAATGTGGAACTAGGGATAGCAGACGTTTGTAGGAAATAGGCTTTAACGAAATGGTTAGCACTGTAGCTAATAGACAAGGAAGTTTTAGATACATATGGGGGAACGAGGAAACGAGCGCTAAGGAGAGTTTACAACAGTATCAAACGCTTAGCGTTGGAAAAAATGAATATGAGGAATTGACATGATTCTTCTTCTCTTAACATATTTCTCAGAAACCTGCGCTCTACAAAAATAGGATGATGGAAGCGGTGGAAAATTCTGGTCGCTCTACCCATAGAGCGATTAAAGAGTTCCGAATAAAAGCACCTATGTGGTGGTAGTAATTTCAAAACACCTATGTAAAATGAGCGTACAACTAAGTATCTCTTTGTTCTCACGAACTCTCCTTTTTAGCCGAGATTAGGTTGGTATAGATGTTCCTATTGTAGTTGTTGTAACAATGGCTGACGCTTCAGCGACTTCGCCTTCCTCGCAGCCTTGCTGTTAGAACACCCGTGTGTTGTTCACGAGAGATGAGCTCTAGATATCTCACCTCTAAGTATCTCTTCTCTCGTGGGTTTAATACTATTTTCAACACAAACAGTCCTTCAAATGTGTCATTTGTCCTAATTGCGTCTGAAAGTAAAACTTTTCCACTGCTCATAGATCACCTACCAAATCTTTTTGAAGGCTGTGTAGTAGGAACAGTGCAGCAGCATCCGCTGATGCAGGTAGAGACTCCGCTCAAATAGATAGAAATGGTTTAAAAAGGCTAGTATCACTTCCATAATTCTTAAAACATTGAAATAATTCGAAAGCGACATCGAAAGCGTTCAATTTCGTGATGTAATTCAAAGACTTGCGAACAATTGCACACTTTTAGACTGTGCTCAGAGAATTTTTGTTTCTGTCTCATTGAAGCAAACATCTCAATTTCGTGACCTATAATCGTAATATCGCTGAGATATTTGTAAAACTCTGGGCCGCTGGTATCTGCGGTGGAGACCGTTGACGGGTGATTGCCGAACACGCTATTACCCTTTCCGGGTGCTAGCGCGTTCACCAGCACGCCGTACGAGTCCTTCGTTTAGCTATTCAATTTTAAAATGAGAGATCTCAATTTTACCTGTAAAATGGTGTACACTGTGCCGAACTCACGCAGCCAACGCCCAAATAGCGGCCACCGTTGCTGCACACTGCTGGTACCAAGCATGCTTAAAATTTAGCTCTTCATAACTTCATGCAGAAAAAATGTTTGTTTTCATATAAATTCCATGGGGAATCAAAGCTTCACTGGTTTTTTTTTCGTTTTTTTTTTCACAGTTGCTGAAGCGACAAATGACTTTGGCAAGCACTGAGAGAACATTCACAGGAGCCGTAATATCGCCCATTTCGGCATTCTTTCTTCATTTATTGTTTACAATTTGATGAAGGGCACCTTAAAAATTATTATTTATTTTAATTTTTGCTTAAAAAATATTAAAAACTGTTATAAAAATTATGAAAACAAAAATTATGAGAGGAGGGTTCAGTGTCTTTTACAAGATTGCTTGAACATTACTGCCATAGCCTGAACTTTCCATTCTTCTGAATTCTTGATGCAAAACAATTTTCACACGAGATAGGCTGGAAAAGGAATCTCTAACGCTGTTCTACTAATGTGTGGCTTTTCTTGTCCGCTCACTATGTGTTACCTTCTGCAGTCAGTCTATGGATTTGCGAAGAAGAGTTTCATGCCACTTTCAAAATGTTTCTTTTTCTCAGCAAGGCTGTTTTTTTCACAGGGATCGATATACAGGGCATATGACTGCGAAATCCACCATTATCATCGTTGCTAGACGAGGATTACGGCGACGGTAGAGGATGATGTAGCCGATGTTTAATGGAACAATGGAGGACTCTCGAAGTGTGCACAGCTTGTGCAACAATAACGATAGAATCTTTTCAGAATCGAATTTGTACGTCCTTAA